AATTTGTTGTATGTTTTTCTGACAGAATGCTTTGGTTTCCAGTGCTAGAGATGTAAAAGAAGTTGCGCTATGTGTCAAAGATCTAAAGTCTCCAAGCTATCACCCTTCAATGATTTCTCTATGGGTCACAGACTCCTTTGAGAGAAAGGACACGGAAAGAGACCTTTTGGCCAAATTACTAGTGAGCCTTACAAGGTCTCAGGATGCCACCTTGAGTCAGACTCTGCTTATCCAAGGGTGAGAATTAGTGAAAGTCTTCTGATTACTAGCGGAAAACTGTTATTGCATAGAATCTCACCGTGTTATGTTTCTCCCCCCTGCTAGGTTTGAATATGTTCTAAATGGTCTGGAAGATGCCGTCAATGATGCCCCCAAAGCGCCAGAATTTCTAGGCCGACTTTTTGCCAGAGTTGTGACAGAAAATGTTGTCTCTTTGAAAGATATTGGCCAACTATTACTAAAAGGGGGAGAGGAGCCAGGGCGACTCTTAAAAATTGGACTTGCAGCTGATGTTCTGGGAAGCACCTTGGAGGCAATACAAATGGAAAAAGGGGATGCTGTTCTGACTGAGATACGCTCAACTTCCAACTGGAGACTGGAGACTCTCCGGCCACCCGATCCCATTGTATCAAGGAAGTTAGAAAAATTTATTTAGAGTATGGTGATGCTCATTGTATCTTTTGTTGTGGGTTAGAGGGGCGGGGAAATTATTTTTTCGCTAGTATTACTAGTGTTTAAATATGCAGAAATTTTCTTCTCTGTGGGGTGGTTGGGTAGCCATATTTTATATAACACTGATTTTTCCTTTGTTTTAATGGTAACACTCTCCAACATCTTAATTACTATTATGAAAGGTTCAATTGGGCATCTCAAATCTTTGGCTGCTGAGTCCTTTTGCCTACCTCATGGGGTGGTTTTAATTCGCATCATTGCCTCGCATGAATTTATCTATCCATGAAAATGTATGTACCAGCAAATTGATATTCACGAATCGCCATATGCATGTGTAATATAGCTTACTTCAAGTTCAGCCCCGGTGAATGTGATATTGTATTTGTGCAGTGTGGTTTCAATATGAACAAAGCTGGCAAGTGAGACACACTGAAGTGGGCATGTGGTCCACTTAATTATTATGGAAATGCAACTTATATGTTCATTTGTCCATGAAAAGGGTACGTTAACAAAAGTAAGTAAATAATTGAGCTGTAAATTTTTGGAGGGTGCCTGTTGTGAATCTTGGAGGTGGGTTTACATTTATTTTATCTACAATTCGATTAGTGCGTTTAATTATAGATTTTGGATATGCTACTAGAATAGTAAATTGTGAGGATGATTTTTTTACGCATAATTTACGAGTCCAGTTATTAAATATTAATCAAGTATTAATATTTTAACAAAATGCTATTTAAAAGATAATATTTTTAGGAAAATTGCTTGAAATCTCGGCTAAGAAAAATAAATGCATATAAATTTTTTGACTCTCATTTAATACTAACAGGTTTCCAAGAATTTAATACTTATATGCTTGACTATAAGCATCGAATAGAATTTGGGGTTGGCCAAAAAAAAAAAAAAGAGAAGGAAAAGGGAACCTAATTGTATTTAATCTTTTTAACTTTCTTTGTCCGCATTTAATCTTCTTATCTAGGACTTACGAATAATTATTTTAATTACCTCAAGTAGTTTTTTTTCCTATTTCTACAAATTAATCATTTTTTTCCTAAGCAAATTAAATATTTATAGAAACTTTTATTAATACAAAAATTCATAGTCAACATTTTTTTTTCGGGGACCGAAATTCATAGTCAACATTGGTACTTTAGAAAGTTTAGCTTCTGCATTAAGTAAAGGCATAACTTTGGACCAAAAAAAAAAAAGTAAGGCATAACCAATGTAAAATCTTTTTCCCCCATATCAAATTAAATGCTCATATATAAAGTGTATCTTTTTACTCTATTGCTTTCGCACCGACAACACAAAGTGTTAAAAAGTACGTTGTTGTAATGTTGCAAGTAATGACATGTTCTTATAATACCATAGCAATATATATTCCTGTATAGATTCCTGGTTCTGGTCTGTTTTCTTTTTCCAAATGTTATAGTCTAGCCCTCTTCATTTAAGATAATGAAAGAGGGTATGAGCTTTTAATCTCCTAAGTGACAGTTTAAAGGAGATCAGTTTGCCCCATGGACAATGTAGTAAGGCCATCCTCATGTAGTTGGCACAAAGTTCTCTTTAACCATGATTGAAATCCAGAGAAATCATAGGAATTTTAATATGATGAGAACCAAACCAAATGGATTTTGTGCAAGGACAGTGACAAAAAATTGCTGTAAAGACCTCGCTTGTTGGAATCCAAATAAGCAAAGTCTTGTGACATCAAAGTTGGCGGTGCTTGATTCAAAAGTTTCCATATCACAATCAAATACTACCTCCCATCTTTAACATAAAAGCTAGTTGATTAATTTGAATATATTAAGAAAAATAGTTAAATTAGTTATTTGTGATATATATATATGTGTGTTGTTTTTTTTTCTAAAATATCTTGTTAATTAGTTAGAATTATCATTATTAGAACTACTTTGGAAAAAAAATTAGATAAGTATGAGAGATAAAGTAGATTGGGGTTTTATATTTAGGACCAAATAAAAATCAAACAAAATTTTATATTAAGCATTGAGGGTAGTATTTGAAATATAGAGAAATTGATCACAGAAATTTTCAGAAAAGAAAAGATCTTTCTTTATGTACTAGAGTTAGGACTCTGAGAAATTTTATTTGAATCCTTTTCACTAGATAGAAATTTATTTTGAATCCTTCTTTCACTAGATGCAACCCAATAAGAAAAGTGGGGTGTTGAGAATGGCTTCAGCATTGACAAGTGAATATAGTCTTCGTATTAATGGAGCATTCCATTTTATTGAATCAATTTGCTAATAGAAGCAACATGCAATAATATGTCAGCAACATTATGTTGGTCCATAAATGGTGGTTTAGAGCAACTGTGTGACTTTTTAATGATAGAGAATTGCAATAAATCAATATATTTAACTTTCAAAAGTTGTTGCCAATGGAGAAGGAGATGCTAGAAAAAATAGGGGTGTGCAAAAACCCAGTAGTCTGGTCCAGTCTCTCCAACTTGAAGTGGTTCGTCCTATCAGTCTAGTCCAAATAAACTATACAATAAAATTAGACTAGATTGAACCAGATTGGTTGGTTGAGTTGTACTAGGTTTTTTACCAAGTAATCAACCACTTGGACTGGTCCAATCCTGTTTAGGTGAATTTTTTTATTTTTAATAATTTATAATTTAGATGTTACCTTTAATTTTTTAAAAATATTTTTAGAGATTTTTATGTATCTATGATGAAGTCTTAATATTTAAGGATGAGTTTTATATGATTATAAGTATTTTTTATTATCTTAAATTGTATTTATCATGTTAAAATCTTGCTTCCCATAAAAAAAAAAAAAAAAAATGAAACCTGGACTGCCTGGACTAGTCCACTAGTTTGATGGACCAAGTTTAGTGCAACCTGACATCAGATCACTATTAGACTGGAACAAACTATAGACTGTCAAACCCAACTTGACCAAAAATCAGACCAAACTTCGGGTTGAACTCTGGTTTGGTTCGGCTGTCCATTACTCCAGAAAAAACTTCTTATCCATACCTCTTTAGCCAAAAAAACCTAATTAACAATTTTTAGTGGATAAATGCAAGACAACCTCTCTTAACAGGAGAAAAAGCATTTCTACATATAGATTTAGGCAGCTTAATGCATGATAGCCCATGAATATTAGCAGCTAAGAGAATATTTTTAATGACTGTAAGTTGAGAAGCTTGGGAAAGGAATTTGGCTTGCCAAACACTCATTTTTTCCCACTAAACTGATTACTTGTTGATAAATTGGGTTTGTTTCTCCTCGAATCAATTCAATTTCCAAGATATCTATCAAACCTTGCAGAGATTTCGATTCCAATGAAGTTTGATACTTGCATCTTGACATTACATAAAACATTTGGACTAACAAAGAATCCATTCAAAACATAAGTCTACTTATTTATATAACTAATTCTACAATCGAATTTCTCTTTGTTTAATTCTTTTTGGGGTCAGAATTCTGCAATCAAATCTCAGTGTTTAGATTTTTATGGTAAACATAATTATAACTCATCATGTTCAAGCAAATGATGAAGTGTAAAAAAGTCCAAATATTAAAAATTGGTTAGATTATTGGTTGTAATATATATAAGTCTGTTAGACAAATTGTTTTGTAACAGTATCACCTGTCATGTTTGGATAGAATTTTAGAGTTAAGTTTGACATGACATATTGTGTGCATGAAACATTGCTGAGTTTGTATAATTTATCTTTAGTTATGTGCAATCTGTATTAGATTATATGTAAAAATTTTCAAAGCTAAAGATATCTTTATATAACTAAAATTACAATCAATAGGATATATTCTTTACCAATTTCTTCTTTTTATTACATAGAGGGCAAATTAGCACACAACAATCCAATCTTATTTCTTAGATGTATCCAACATTTTAATCTTTCTAGTGAGTTAGTTTTATCCATAAAATTTTAAATACAGTGCAATCTCATTCTTTTTTTAGTTGAAATCATCGTTTCCTTTTTCATTTAAACATTGCAATTAAAAATTTTGATTCCTTTTATCAAATTATTAACAACTTTTATATAAAGTAACCATGCTATAATTACATTATAAAATTAAAAAGGGGTGAGATTTGCACAAAATTAAATAGCTCAAGACTAAATTGTAATACTAAAGAGACTAGCGCGGCGGGCATACTTTTACCAAAGACAGAATGTTGAAGAATTTGGGGGGGAAAAATGAAAGAGGATGAGAAGTAAATAAACCGGGCGAACAGGTCTCACTGAAAACGCCCGCTATTCGATTACTGGTGATCTCCCGAAAAACCTACCTCCTTTTGACCACTCTTATAAGCCCTTACAGTGTTCTGTTTTGTTACCTCATGTTCTCTTTCTCTCTCTAATTTCTCTCTCCTACGAAATCATCCTGCTTGCCTGTTTGGCTTCGTTTTCTCTTTCTTCCTCCCCCTCTCTTCTCTTTTTCTTTTTTTCTTTTTTCTTTTTCCTCCCTGCTCTTTTTATCTATCAGCCCCTTCGTCTTGCACTGCCATTACGACCCAATAAAACCCTAATCCACCACGCTTCACTGTGCAGGTGCTTCCTTCTACAACCCCCTTTCTGTTTCACTGTGTTTGTGTTTACGGGTTGATGGTAATTGATGTGTTTGAATTGTTGAAGGTTTGATTTTTACAATATTGTGGATCTGTTTGGTTGGTTGCAGGGAAATTTTGAGAGAGAGGAGTTTGTTTCTTTCTTTTCCTTTTCTTTTATTATTTTTTCCGGTTTTCTGATTGTGTCTGTTGAGCAAGTACGAATTGGGATATATGTCCGTCAATCAATCAAGGTCCGATAAGAGCGACAATCATTACCGTAAATCCGGGCGATCAGGGAGCTTCCATCAGCAGCGAGGTTCCTCAGGCACGTACGTTAAGGGCGGTGGCGGCGGGCCCGCGCCTTCTCCCGGGATCACTTCGGGTTCCTCACAGCCCTCTAATCGGAGGTAGGTTGGGGTCCGCGAGTTTTATTTTCTTGCATTTTTTGTTGGATTGTGTGAATGCGAGGGGCGTAATTTCTCTGTTTCTATGTAGAATTGTGTTTTCTTGACTGGGAGGATTGTGTCAGATTGGGAAACTGGAGTTCTGTGACTAGTGTTTTTCTATCGTCCTCAACCGGTGTACTCCTCTGTTTTATTAACTTTGCTTCTTGCTTGTCCTAGTTTTAAGAGGTCTAATAATCCACATGGTGGGCAATCTAGGGTAAACCCTCCCCCTGTGAATTCAGCCGAGTCTAATAGTGCTTCTACAGGCCGGACGATACCAAATGGCGCTCATTTACAACAATCACCTGGTATGCTTGATATTTTCTCTTCTTTTTTTTCTTTTTGTTTTGGTTATCTGTTTTAGGGGGTGGGGGACGTTGGTTTTGTTCTGCTTTGCATTTATTGTTTGATTATGTTATCCGGTGGAATTACGCGCATGAGTGCATGCCTCGGCCTTATTGTAATTTTATGTCAGCGAGTGTATGGTATATGATGATTGCGAATATTCTTTATGACCTTCATTCATGTGGTGTGGCAGGAGCCTCTGATGCGCCAGGTACAAATGCAGCTGCCAAGTCATCTGAAGCCTCATCTGTACAGAAGAGCTTCAGAGTTGTTCCAAAGGCTCCAGCTCCTCGACCTACCACCATAAATTCTGATACAGCAGCTCCTACAACCCCTACCAAGGGTATGTGACCGCGCATGCTTTGTACTCAGTACATGGACGAGCAAGAAATCCTCATACGCTCACATTGCATTTTTTTTTTTAAATTAGAATTTATTTACTTTTCTCACCTATGCCCTGTAAGACTGAACTGTTTGAATTTTCATGTCTATTTTTTTTTAATTATGATTATAATTTATGCAGCCCCTGGAGATTCATCCAAGCCATTTGCTTTTCAATTTGGGTCCATTAGCCCCGGTTTCATGAATGGGATTTCAGTATGTTTCTTATCGGTTATTTTTTATGTGCCTGAAGTATTTGTACACTGCCTTTTGCTTAGATTTTTCAGTCAGCATAATTGATTGTGTTCATTTTATGATAACTAGGTTCCTGCACGCACAAGCTCAGCTCCTCCAAATTTGGATGAGCAGAAAAGAGGCCAGGTAGGCAGGTTTATTCTTTATTCATGCAATCTCTTGTATTTTTGTGTCACAATATGGATTTATTGCCACTGCAGACTCCTTGAGTTTCAGAAGCTGAATCGTAAATGGTAGCTACATTTTGTCTTCTGTACGTTGGAAATAATAGTTTGTTGTCTGATCTTATTTTTCAGGCTCGTCATGATTCTTTTAGATCTGCACCTTCAGCGCCAACACCTCCACAACAGCTACCACCACGGAATGATGGTGGTGTTACTGACCAATGTAATGCTGGGGAAGCTCATTCAGTGAACAAGGTGAAAAAGGAGGAGCAGGCATCAGCTTTGCCCCCATCAAGCCAGGTGCAAAAGCCATCTGTTGCCATGACTGGGATTTCAACAGCAATGCCATATCATCACCAATCACAGGCACCTGTACAGTTTGGTGGTCCTAACCCACAGATTCTATCTCAGGGAATGTCAGCAGCATCTCTTCAGATGCCTATACCAATGCATTTACCTATGGGAAATGTTGCACAAGTACAACAACAGGTTTTTGTTCCAGGTCTTCAACCTCTGCCTATTCATCCACAGGGAATTATGCATCAAGGCCAAAACTTAAGTTTCAGTTCTCAAATGAGTCCTCAATTGCCCCATCAGTTAGGTAGCATGGGTGTTAACCTGAACCCACAATATCCCATGCAGCAAGGTGGAAAATTTGCTGGTCCCCGCAAAACTACCACTGTCAAGATTACTCATCCTGAGACACATGAAGAGCTGAGGCTGGATTTTGAGAAAAAGGAAGATTCACATTCAGATGGCACCTCATCAAGTGTCAGGTCTTATCCTAGTATTCCTTCTCAGCCTCAACCTGTTCAGTCATTTGCCACTTCTCATCCCTTAAACTATTATCCATCTAGCACTTACAGTAGCAGCTCTCTTTATTTTCCACCTACTTCTGTTCCTTTACCAAGCAGCCATATAACTCCTAATTCTCAGCAACCAAGATTTAATTATCCAGTCAATCCAGGCCCCCAAAATGCAGGTTTTAACAATCAATTATCTATTGGTTCCTTTCCTGTTAATAAAACTGGTGCTTCTGTTCATGGCCTCGGGGAAACACCAAATCTGGAACATTCTCGTGGCGTGCAGAAAGGGATTTCATCAACTATATCTGGACTAACTCATGCTGGCATCAAACCAAGTGGGACCTCTGGTGTTAAAGCAAGTGAATCTCCTAGCTCTTTAGGGGCATCTATTGATGTTGGCTTGACTCAGAAAGGGTCTGATAATTGTTCTGAGACATTGTTACATCAGTCTAAATCATCTAGCGATTCTTTTGCTGCAAGGTCATTGCCAAAACAACCTGCTGCAGGGCCTGCTGAGAAGCTGGCATCTACTCCCTTGATGCCTTCTCCAGCTTCTTTGAGTGACAATTCTGCCTCAGATTTGTCCAACAATGAAGGAAGAAGGAATGAATCTCTTAGCAGGTCAAACTCTATGAAAGATAATCAAAAGAAAACAGGGAGGAGAGGGGAATCTTCGCATCAGGTACTTGAATGCTTTAATAGTCAACTTGCTTTTTTATTTATTTTTAATCTTATCTTAATTTACATGAAGTGCCATATTCTCTTTTTGGTTATTCCCACAGGTTCCTGTGCTATCTCCTGCTGTGGTTAGTGTACCTTCTCAATCTGTTGATAGTGCTATGCCTGATCGTGAAATTTCTGATACTGTGGGAAATAAAACAAAGCCTTGTGCAGCAATAACCACTGAAGATATCTCTAGCACACCAGAGGCGTTATCAGTTACAGCTAACAGTGGTATTGTTCCTGATGCCAATGAAATGAACATTGACCCTTCTGCTGAAAATTTTGTTTGCATTCCAGCTGAAGGAGTTGGTGCTTCAGCTGTTGATGGCTTGGAAAATCATGAGCATGAGAAGCTAGAGGAATCATCACAGCAGGATAAACCGGAAAAGATGGATGTTTTTGAAATGGGTAATAAAAATGATGGATCTGAAGTATTTAAACAAAAAGGTGATGGTGATGGGATGAAATTTGAAGAAAGAAAACAAGGCGCAGCAAAGGAATTGCAAGATGTACAACAGAGACCGGAATTGCAGGATGAATCTACAGATTGTAGATCAGCATGTGAGATGACAAGCGATAGTTTAGGTGTGTCTACCGCAGATGATTTGGATTCTAGAGATATCTCTTTAAATAGAAATGATAGTACAGTTAGTAATGAATCTATTTCTGCATCTGATAACAAGGATTGTTCAGAGAATGCTGAGAGTGGCTCAGTTTCCCTTCCAACATCATTTAACAAGGATAGACCTATTTTGGAGCCAAACAAGGTGAAAACTATAGCCAAAGGAAAGAAGAAAAGAAAGGAGACCCTTCAGAAAGCAGATGCTGCTGGGTCAACTTCTGATCTTTATAATGCATACAAGAGACCTGAGGAAAAGAAAGAAGTTGTGAGTACAGAGAGCAAAGAAATTACTTCTCCGAGAAGGTTAAAGCAGTTGCCTAATGAGGCTGCTCAATCAGATGCTATTGCAACTGTGAAAGATGGACATGACAATGCTGAGCCTGATGACTGGGAGGATGCTGCTGACATGTCTTCCCCAAAATTAGAAGTTGTGGGTACAACTCAACAGGTCAGTGATGGGAGTGAACTTACAGCGAAAAAATACTCCAGAGATTTCCTTTTGAAATTTGAAGAGCAATATGTTGATCTTCCTGAGGGCTTTGAAATTACAGCAGACATTGCTGAGGCTCTGATGAATTCAAATGTTACTGGTTCTCATGTTGAACGTGACTCACATCTTAGTCCAGGAAGAATTATGGATAGGTCTGGTGGGATGTCTCGAATGGACCGACACGGGTCTGGGCGTTTTGAAGAAGACCGGTGGGGTAAAATCCCTGGACCTTTTAATTCAGGACGTGACATTCGTATGGATGGCTTTGGAGGTAATGCTGGATTTCGACCTGGTCAAGGAGGCAATTTTGGTGTTTTGAGGAACCCCCGTGCGCAGGCACCTCTGCAGTATGCTGGAGGAATCCTTTCTGGACCGATGCAGTCAATGGGAAATCAGGGAGTTACGCAAAAGAATAGCCCTGATGGTGAGAGGTGGCAACGAGCAACTAACTTCCAGCAGAGGGGTTTAATTCCGTCTCCTCAAACCCCACTTCAGGTGATGCACAAGGCTGAGAGAAAGTATGAGGTGGGTAAGGTGACAGATGAGGAACAAGCAAAGCAGAGGCAGTTGAAGGCCATTCTGAACAAGTTAACTCCTCAGAATTTTGATAGACTTTTTGAGCAGGTTAAAGCGGTGAATATTGACAATACTGACACGCTTAATGGTGTAATCTCTCAAATATTTGAGAAAGCTCTAATGGAGCCAACCTTCTGTGAAATGTATGCCAATTTCTGCCTACATCTAGCTGCTGTGTTGCCAGATTTTGGTGAAGACAATGAAAAGATAACTTTTAAGAGATTATTGTTAAACAAGTGCCAAGAGGAATTTGAGAGGGGTGAAAGAGAGCAAGAAGAAGCTAATAAGAATGATGAGGGTGAGGTCAAGCAGTCTGCTGAAGAGAGGGAAGAGAAACGAATTAAGGCAAGAAGGCGCATGTTAGGTAATATAAGATTGATTGGAGAATTATATAAGAAAAAAATGTTGACAGAGAGGATAATGCATGAGTGCATCAAGAAGTTACTGGGATCGTATGAGGACCCTGATGAGGAAGATATTGAGGCTTTGTGCAAGCTGATGAGTACTATTGGGGAGATAATTGATCATCCCAAAGCCAAGGAACACATGGATGCATATTTTGAAAGGATGATATTGTTATCAAAGAACATGAATTTATCTTCTCGAGTGAGATTCATGTTGAAGGATGCTATTGATTTGAGAAAGAATAGATGGCAACAGAAACGGAAAGTTGAGGGTCCGAAAAAGATTGAGGAGGTTCACAGGGATGCTGCCCAAGAGAGGCAGGCCCAAACTGGTAGGCTAGGACGCGGTCCAGGCAATGCTGCATCATCAAGAAGGATGCCTATGGATTTTAGTCCAAGAGGGTCGTCTATGTTTTCTCCTACTAACACCCCTATGGGGCTGCGTGCGCCACAGGTTCGCAGTGGTGGTTCTCAGGATGTTCGTCAAGACAATAGACTATCATATGAGGCTAGAAATTTGTCTGTTACTTTGCCTCAAAGACCTTTAGGTGATGATTCAATAACCTTGGGACCACAAGGTGGTCTTGCAAGAGGAATGTCCTTTAGAGGGCCAGCTGTGATTCCAAGTTCTGTTCCTGATTTGCACCCAGGTGCAGATTCTCGAAGAATGACATCTGTTCTGAATGGTCATGGCAATTCATCAGAGCGTACTCTGTATAGCAGTAGAGAAGATCAAATGACAAGACATGGACCAGATAGATTTGCTGGTCCAACTGCTCATGACCAATCAGCTGTTCAGGAGCGTAATATTAATTATGGTAATAGGGAGTCGAGAAATGCAGACCGGAGTCAAGAGAGACCAGTTGCAACTTTAACTCCTGGAGTTCAAGGATCTGCTGTCTCTGAGAATGTGTCGTTGGAGAAGGTTTTGCCAGCAGAACGATTGCAGGACATGTCCATGGCGGCAATTAAAGAATACTACAGGTATTGTTTTCTTTCATCTAGCCTGTTCTATCTTTCGTTGCCATTGTATGCCTTTCCTCGCTCTGCTGTATGCTGGCTTGGTGCAACGTTTTCCCCATTTTTCTTTATTTCTTGGATTTTAACGAGGGCATGTTATTCCCCTATGAGAGAAGGTTTTGAGCACTCTCTCTCAGCGTTTTCTCGGTGACAAGGAATTGCCCTCATTCTGTGTCATTGTATTTGTTGGATTCATAAACCTTATCTTGAATTACTTATCCTTATCAATTATCAGACTTCATCTTATTGCAAGGGCAGATAGATATTGTGCAGGTATGGTTATGACGTTTAATGGGAAAAATGGTTCTTAGTTAAGTTGAATTGTAACTTATTGTGAACAAAATGCGTGTTTAATGTGGAGCCATAGCTATTTGATTTGTTACGTCTGCTGCCACAAGCAGATGACTTGCACATGTTACGTAATACTTTGCATTGACTCTGTTTAAAATGTTCATATTGATATAAAACTGCCAGTAATGTGTTCTGGTTAAGGGAACGAGGACCTGATGCAGATGCCACAGTTTATGAGGCATCTTCCATTTCAGCGGATGCCTGGCTCATGAAATCCAGCATTTTATACTTCATGTTGCTATTTTGAACTATATCATTATGTTTGCTACGCATTGATGTTTCAATCTGCAATGGTGCATACCATGGAACAAAGAACCTGCTAAAAGTATTCTCCCTTCCATTGAAATTATGGTTGCAAACGCTGTTTAAATAACTATATAGTTAATTTTAATATTGAATAGTAAGCAATTTGTCTGTGCCACAATTTATTGTTGATATCTGGATGCTAACTTGTCAGTCGTGTGCTTCGTACTGTCTGTACTCTGTACTGGTTTTAGTTGCTTAGTCGGGACTGCTCTACTTTCATTTTTCTTAAGAAGGTTGCAGAAATTACTGCTGCTTATGATTTTCCAACTAGTGTAATGTCATTTATATGTGAGTTACAATGTTTGTAGTGAACAAAAGGGACAAAATACAGGCACAAACTTCTAACGAACACCACTGCTTTTTGGTGGTTTTTTAATTGTGTTGTTATGTGATTTGAGTTCAATGTTACGCTCTCAGCTTTTATTACCTTTTTTTTTTTTTTGAGTGTGTTGAACAACATATACGGTTCTCCTAGTCCGTTAATGTTGTAGTGATCAAGTTGTTTTCCATCCATTGAGTTTGTTACATGTCTTTCTGACTGAAAGCTATGATTTCCAGTGCTAGAGATGTAAAAGAAGTTGCGCAGTGTGTCAAAGATTTAAAGTCTCCCAGCTATCATCCTTCGATGATTTCTTTATGGGTCACGGACTCCTTTGAGAGAAAGGACACGGAAAGAGATCTTTTGGCCAAATTACTAGTGAGCCTTACAAAGTCTCAGGATGGCACCTTGAGTCAGGCTCAGCTTATCCAAGGGTGGGAATTAGTTCAAAGTCTTCTGGTTATCAAAGAAAAATGGTTATTGCATATAATCTCACCATGTCATTATTTTTCCCTTTCTAGATTCGAATCTGTTCTAAGTGATCTGGAAGATGCCGTTAATGATGCCCCGAGAGCCCCTGAATTTCTAGGCCGAATTTTTGCCAGAGTTGTGATGGAAAACGTTGTCTCTTTGAAAGAGATCGGCCAACTACTATCACGTGAAGGCGGAGAGGAGCAAGGCCAGCTCTTAGAAATTCAACTCGCAGCCGATGTTCTTGGAAGCACATTGGAAGCAATAAAAGTGGAGAAGGGAGACGCTGTCTTGAGTGAGATTCGGTCAAACTCTAACTTGAGGCTGGAGACTTTCCGGCCACCCCATCCCATTATATCAAGGAAGTTGGAAAGTTTTATTTAGGGTATAGTGATTGTCATTGTATCTTTTGTTGTAGGCTAGAGTTTTTTTCTTCTTTTCTTTGGGGGGATTATTTTGTGCTAGTACTACTAGGGTGTTAATTTGCAGTAATTATTTTCTTTATGGGGTGGTTGGGTAGCCATAATTAATACATACTGATCTTTCCATTGTCTTAATTTGTAACACCGTCCAATATCATGACTATTATGAAAGGTTTAATTGGGCATCTCAAATCCGAGGCTGCTGAATTCTCTTGCCTGCCTCATGGAGAGGTTTTAATTGTTATTATTGCCTTGTATGATTTAATCTGCCCATGAAAAATGGTGTGCCAGGAAATTGATATTCCCTAATCATCAATTGCTATGCAAGTGGAATATGGTTCATTCAAGTTCATCCTGGTGAATGTGATATTGTAATTCAGGTGTGTTGTTGGGCTTTAGAGGGTCTTTAATACGAAGAAGTAGTTGGAGGTTGAATTTTATCGTAAATATAAAATTTCAATTTATTTTGTCTTTTATTTTCTCAAAATATTCATATTAATTTTAAGGGATTTTATTAAAGACTAATTCTGATGATCAAATGCATGAGATTAAAGGTGATAATTTAGGAAAACTAATTCACGATTGTGACAAATAAATAATTATTTTCAAATTTGTTATTTAGTTTTTATATTAAAGATTGGAGATGGATATGGTATATATAAACAAAGCTGATTACTACAGTGAGTATGCCATCATAAATTTGGCACGTCACTCAACTTTTTAATCTTTTGTGCTATTTCCCTTGCGAAGGATATATCCGTTTTTCATTTCATTTTTGACAAGAGGACACAGAAACTATTACAATTGATGCGGGCAAGCTATATATCCATTTCCCATTAGAAAAACGCAAAAGTTGATATTTTTTTTTACTTTGTTTAATTACTTCTTATCTACTTAATTATTTATTTAATATTTTGGTCCAACCTTTTTTTGTGTGGCTAATTTACATTAAGGAAAAGTTGTGATGGAGCTAGTTTAATTAAAGTTTTAATTGACTGTGAGATCTTGAAAGTATAAAAATCCCATTTGAAATTCTACTTTAATCTGTAACTAGATTGTTGATGTTGATCTCATGTTTCATATTATCTGAGAAGGCTTGAAAGTGAACGTACATATTAGCATCAACGATGAATTTCAGAATACCTATCATCATTATTATAAGAATGAATCAGAGGGGGAGTTTGGCAACCCCATAATAATTTAAAAGAAGTCTTTTTATTCAATTTGGATAAAGTTTTTCTCACATATTTATTTTGTATATCATAAGATTACTTCTAAAAAGCTAGTCCAAATACTTCTTAACACCCTGCTTGCCACCACGATTAAAAGTACGTTTCATGTAAGTTGAGAAAAAAACTCTTCTGACATATTTATCTCGTATTTTGTAAATTAAAATTAAAAAGTTTTTCCGATTAGGCCTAAATCCCATTCCCGTATCAATGTTTTCAAGGTAAAACACATCAGGGATGAGCGAGGATTTCACCAAGGATGATACATTTTGGCTCAATCAATCTGGAAACTTCTATAGAAACGTTAACCCTTAAAAGTGGCCGACTTGACCCCAAAAGTATATTAAATAATAATATTCTTTTTATTCCTTTACCAACACAATTAGCTGTTCAGCTGTCTCAACAGCCATTGTATTATCTTAAATTAAGTCAACCGGATATATTTGAGTTAAGGTGCATGAGTGCATCTAGTACTTTGAAATATTTTTTCAGGTATATTTAGTACCATGAAGTATTTTGTGTGCATTTAACACCATGAAATTTTTTTTTAAAGTGCATCTAGCATCTAAAGTATTTTTTGGTATATCTAGTATCTCAAAATATTTTTTTGAATATGTTCAACATCGAAAAAATATTTTTTGGTGCATCCAGCACCAAAATTAAAAAAATACTAATGATGCTGGATGCACAAAATAATATTTTTTTGGTGGCTAGAAACATTCAAAGTATTTCTTCACAAAAAGGCCAAACAGAAAAAAAAAAAATCCTATACTAATTTTCAATTTGAACCTAATCCTTATGAGTCTCCCTCTCAAGTGCATGCACTAAGTCAAGAACCTTCTAATGATGGATGCACTCTAACCCCTTTTTTTTGCCATGTAAAAGGAATGTTAAATAAATAAATAATGGTTAACATTAATCAAACACCTTGAAAATTCAGTTACATTCAATGTTTTAAAATATTTTGTGGTTTATCTAGCATTCTCAATTATTTTTTCAAGTATGTCTAACTTTCTAAAATATTTTACAGTGCATTCAATACTTTGAAATAATTTTTCCGGCATGTCTAGAACCTTAAAAAATAAAAAAAATTACTTTAGGGTACTTATTATACATTCTTCTAACGGATTTTTTTGAGGTGTTAATGACGGGATTAAAATTACTCTGAAAAAAATTACTTCTTAAAGGCATAATTGCTCCAAAAAAAAAGTAATATTTTAAGGGCAAAATTATAGTACAAAATATTTAGGGTGTTGAATTCACAAAAAAAGTGATTGATGAATCACAAAATATTCTAAAATACGAAATGCACTTAGAAAGATACTTCAAAGTGCTACTTTTAGTAAATCAAGCACAAATTGTTTTAATATCGTATTAATGATGAGCATCGCACTTAAAATCAAATTGACCCAAAAAAATCGATAACTCAATATTTAACCAGTTCGGGCAAATTGCTAATCTGATGGAAATCTAACTCGTTTTAGGCTTGTTTAGAGTTGCTTATATTAAATGTTCACAAGTATATTTATATAAATTAAGACAGAACTCTCAATACTTACTTTGTATTTTATACTATTAAAAAATAAGGAGAATTACAATCAAGTTCTACAGAAGAGAAATAATTACTAAAAGATCTTAATAACAACTTGAGTAGCCTGTATCCTGTAATGATAAGTCCTGCAGCGGAGAATAATAACCTCTAAGATTTATTTTGTAATTTTTTTCCTTTTTGACTATAATTCTCTCCAAAAAGAATGCCATTCCATGTAAGCACATAATTGGGTTGCTCCAGGTAACCAGTTAGGCTAGACAGATCAAAATGTCCACATGGGTAAAACTAAAAAATGTTGACAACCCTTAAAAATACTTTTTGAAAATATTTTTAGAGAGGAGAGTCTCTGATTCAGACAATAATCAAATGCTGGCTTCTTCCTTAGGCCCCCGGTTTCGGATACGAACCTCTCCAGGCTCATAGGCCTTCGCGTCGAACTTCGCTGCTGTTCGTGACCTCGTCTCATCGCCCTTCCTGTCGCTCTCCTCAGTCTGTCATGACTCACCGTCGTTGTTCGCTGCTAGCCTAATATATTCTGGTAAGTTCTGCGATTTGGCCGTTTAGGATTCTTTTTTTTCTTGGGGCGGGGTTTTTAATCGGTCTCATTCGAATTGATTTCTTTGCTGTAGGAAGCTATACTTTTACTTACGTGGGTTGCTCCGTTCAAGGAAGAACTTGCTGATGGAAGGTAAAACTTTGAATTTCTCCTCAGTCTCTAGACTCAATCTGTTTGTTTGTTTGTTTTCTTTCGTAGCAATCTCAATCAGTTGAGGCATAGTTGATACCCATTTAAGCCCCTTCAAAATATCAGACTCAGAGAGTCCATTTTTCTGAATTTTACCGTTGATCATTGTCGAACTATTACTCTTGGTTTGGTATGAGGAAAAAGCTTAACTATTTTTGAAGGCAAAGATGCACATGTTGATGGAATCTTTTGTCTATGATTATTTTAAAAATCTAATTTTCTAATTCTTCAGAGTTGCAGAGAAAGAACCTCAGTCAGAAAATTACATATTGAGCTTTAAAAAAATTATAGTCTTTCTTATTTAAATATTACCTTTTTTTCATAGTCAGCTATACATATTTTTAATTGAATTTTAATTATTACTGGTCTGGTTCCCATTTGATCATGATCTGACTCACTGTTTCCAACGATTTATTGACTGATCCTCCTTGCAGTAACTTGATGATGAGTGTGGATATAAAGCTTGTGTATTAACAGCCAACGTTAAGTCAACGAGATATATTTTCTCAGATTACGTTTAACCAAAATAAATAAATAAATAAACCACAACTTGTATTAACATCAACATGAACATTATATTAATAATGGATATGAACCACAAACAATGAGAATCAAGTCAAAGGTTTATTAACAATTTGTCTCATACAATCTATTCTTCTTTTCTAATATAAACCCATTTCGGATCTCTCCACTTTCTGATAATGCACCACCAAAAGATCTATCAAAGAAAGAGACAAAAGGGTAGGACTGAGGATCAAGCAATGGAAAGGAAGAATAACTCTCTGCTGATTCTTCCTCTTCTTCTTCTTGTTCTTCTCACAAGTTTGCCTTCTTTCTCAGCGTCTGGTGATTATGGAAAGAAGACGAAGCACTTTGTATTAATCCATGGAGCAAGTCACGGTGCGTGGTGCTGGTACAAGGTGGCCACTCTGTTGAGATCAAAGGGTCATAATGTGACAACGCTTGACTTGGGGGCTTCTGGAATAAACCCCAAGCAAGTGAATCAGATACGTTCCATTTCTGATTACTATGAGCCATTGATGGTCTTCATGGAGTCGGTTCCGGCAAAGGAGAAAGTGATCCTGGTCGGACATAGTTTAGGAGGGGTGTCTACTTCTGTTGCCATGGAGAAGTTTCCTCATAAAATATCAGTTGCAGTTTTTGCTACCGCTTATGTTCTTAGCCAAAACCTCTCCTATCCTGCTGTTCTCTCTGAGGTAATTCTTAGTATCATAACTAAAAAGTTGACCCACCTCGTCCTCTAATTGGGCTGGAATTTTGATTGAATCAGTAATTGAACGAACCAGTGCAACTCAGTTAACTCGGCTGGTTGGTGTTAATTGACCACTCTGGTTTTGAGTACCTTGCTTAACATAACTACATCTTAATCCTCTGTATTGCATAAGGCTACCTTGACTTATTTCTATAAAGCATGACGTTTTGCTATATATGATGGTTTGTCTGTTGGTGCTGTTGTTTGATTCTAATTCCTTGCTATTGCTGTCCCTTCTTTTATTAAGTTCATATTACTGCATACATTTAATCAATTTCCTTATGATTAAAAAATACCATGCATCTAGTTTTATCTGAAACAAATTGAACTAATCCACGGATTTGAATGTGCTGAACATGTGTGCTAAAAAGAATGTGAAATATGCATAGGCTATCATTTATACGTCATATGCAAATTGTATTGTTTTGTGAGTCATATATAGTATGACTTATGTATTGTACAAGATTATTTTTCATCTCTGTCCAAAAGAAAATTGGATTGTGGATTTTGAATGGGCATGTATGAGGATGTGAAGTACTCCTTCGGTCCTAAATATAAGACCCTTATACTAGTGTGTATAAGGGTCTTATATTTAGGATCGGAGGAGTATTATAATTGTACCATATTTTATTGAAAATATTTTGGTTTATGAATTTTGCATCGATTAAAAGAATAATTATATTGTTGCAGCTGAGCAGAAGAAACATTTCATTGATGGACACGCAATTTTTCTTTGAAGATGGGCCCACTAACCCTCCCACTGCAAGACTTGTTGGGCCCAAATTCATGGCAACCCGTATGTATCAATTATCCTCACCAGAGGTAATCTCTCTCTCTCTCTCTCTCCCTCCAAAGTTAGAGATTGACCAGAACATTTGATCAGATTTGATAGAATTATAATTAATATGATCTCCGATTCTTAATATCAAATCAGTTGGTAATTAGAGATCTTATATGAAGAATCAAAAGTAGTAGTATGACATTTAAAATAAGAAAATGATGATATATAAGCTTATATAATACATTATCTGCATCATCAAACAAGTCCTAAACTCATAATTAATTTTGTTAGCAATTATATGGTCATGTGTTTTATCAAACAAACAAAATATAAAAATTATATGATCATGTCTAGAGCATATCAAATGGACCATTAGAAATGGACATAGTTAATCTCTCCTTTGTTAATAACAACACATGGTATTATTCCAAGGACAAAGCATTTTTGTGTAAGTGAAATTAATCAATGCCCAAATGATAGGATTTGACACTTGCATTGTCACTGGTGAGGCCTGTGCCAATCTATAATGATGCTGAATTATTGAGGAAGGAAACAGCTGTCACAAGTAGCAGAAATGGAAGAGTACCAAAAATATTTATCAAATGTGAGAATGACGACTTGATCACAGAGGACCTCCAAAATTGGATGATTCAGAGATCTCTTCCATTTGATGATGTCAAAGTGATTGAAGGCTCAGATCATATGCCTATGTTTTCTCAACCACTCAAGCTAACCTCTCACCTTCTGCAGATTGCCAACATGTATTAGTTGGATTCAAAAACTCAGCACATTATAATGATATTATGAGTATTTGAAGGTCTATTTTATTGATTTTATCTGAAATTTACCCAGAACTTTGTCATGGAGTACATCTGCTTGCTTTTAATGGCATCATAATAAGATTGATTGCAGGGGAGTTCTTGACATTTCCTGCAACGACTTGTGGAAAATCATGCTGAATTACTGTTTTAAGGATAACAAAACTAGAAGAAAAATTGTATGGTATTGTAGGGCTTATTGCAAATTACAAGGACCAAATTTAAGGGATACTAGAAAGGACCTTCAATGCTAGTATTTTAACCTTTTCAAGTCTTGACATTTTTTCATGAAAGTCTTAAGAGAGTTTATTTCTTATGTGAAAAATTGATTTTCAATTAAACAAGGGAAGTTAACACAATTTAATTTTGCAAAGCATTCAAAAACAGTTTTTATTACTCTAGTTAGTATTCTACTTAATGCGTTAACCTCATAGCCTTATCGAAAACGTGATTTCATTCTTCAATGTTTAGCCTCGGCAAAACTTTGGTTCTCCCAGCTCCAGCATCAACTGAACAGCTTTAGCATTTTTTTCAATCAAAAAACTGTTTTAGCATTACTAAAACTTAAAAAACAAAATAGAAAAATATATTCAAATGCCTTCATACTTAATACATTAGAAATTATGGATTTAGAGTCATGTTTTGGAAATTAAATATTAAAAATGTGTTTAGAAATAAACTAATTATAAATACAGACATATGAATTTAGGATGGAACACCCCCTCTCGATATGGATTTTGTCTCATCCCATATTTGTCGAGTCTCGAAAATTTTCAGGAGGGGATGGATATGGGATACCATGAACTTCTTCAAAATAACGTCTCTTTAGGTGGTTCCGATTTTTTATAATCTCAGGTACTAAGTACCTATTTAATTCCTAATTATTTGCATTTTAAATAATCTATCTCATTCAAATTTCACACTGAACTTTTGATATATGATGAATCCTGCGATGTATTGATGATGAGTATATAATGCAGCTTGAATAGTAAAGTCTTGCTCTTGCACTATGAATGCAAAAATAGGTGAAAAGTACATGTGTTGAGCTATTAAGAATATAACGTAATAACCCCTGAAGAGGCTAAAAGAAGGCCTAATTGAAAATAAATTGAATTATTAATTGTGTCATAAAGACCCTTATGTCCACGGTGCAATTACTACAGTATTATTTCTAAAAGATATGTTTTCGTTTTAAAATAACACGCACCAATCATTTTAAAACAAGGTAGTTTCATTTTGGATCGTTCTTCACTTTTTTTATGCTACTTCCAATTCTTATCATAAAATCTAGTTTGATATTTAATTTAATTTTAAATATAATATTTTAATTATTTTGTCTGCTGTATTTATCTATTTTTTCAAGTTAGTTATTGTAGTAGTTACATATGTTAAATGATTCATCAAATAGTAATTATTAGCAAGGGTATTTTGAATAAGACGATATTTATTTATTACAAATAAATAACTTGATTAGTTTTCTTAATATATTTAAATTAGTTAACTAACTCTCACATTAATAATAATCTTTTGCATTATAATCTTTTGTACTGTTTTGATTTCTTTGCAAAAGAAAAAACAGAAGTTGATTATTTTAGAGATAAGGTGTTGAAACACCTTGAAAGTATTCATGAAGGAGCACCTAGCATCTGAATTTTTTTGGCCCTTATATGCCCTAAAATTTATCTTTATAGCAAAAATACCGTGGTTGTTATTTATCATTAAGTTTGATAGTTAATTATGTAGTCTTACTGAAAACTTTACCAGTCAAACTTAATAACAGATAATGGTTAAAGGCAAAAATGATATGAAATAAAATTTTTAGGACATATAAGAGCCCAAAAAACTTTCAAGTACTAAGTGCTTCTTGATAGATACTTTGGAGATATTTAAATACCTTATCGTATTGTATTTCATTTACTTGGCTCAATCACTTTTTATCTACTTATTTACTTATTTACCATTTTGGGTTAGTTTTACATGAAGGAAAAGTTGTAATCGACCTTGCTTAATTAAAATGCCAATTACCTGTCAGATCTTGGGGATGTAGAAATCCCATATGAAGCTAAATATCTTTATAACTTATTACTGAGATTAACTTGTGTTTTTATATATTTCTATTGTTTATTCTTTTAGAAGGGGTGAGTGTGAACGGAGATATTAACACTAACATGAACTTCAGAGGTTAAGGATTCTAATTTCCATTCTTGTATCAATAATTTCACTGTAAAATTCCACGCGAGGGTTGAGCAAAACTCTCCTCTTTAATATAAGAACTACTTAGAAATTAAATTTTATTCTAAATATAAAACTTTAATCCATTTTATCTTCCAAGTTTTTAATTTATTGTCTAAAATATTCTTATTAATTATACACATTAAAAATTTCTAAGGGTAGAAAAATTTATATCTAAGAGTAGTCATAATTGAAATGAGTACTTTAAGAAAATCAACTTATATTTATTACAAATAATTGATTTAACTAATTTTTTAAATTTATTTAAATTAGTTAAATAAAATAGCTGTTATACACTTAAGCTAATTAGGGATCTTATACTAAGGAGGAGAGGGTTACATTCAGGTGCAATCAATCTGGAATTCTTTAAGGATTCGTTCACCAAACGAGAATAAATAAATAGAATAATCAGTTAAGCTTTCTCGTCAGCCATTGTAGCGCCAGATATATTTAATATTTTCTTCCTCCTATAAGAAACGTTAAATAAATAAGGGTTAAAATTAATGTTGGATTGAACTTTACTTACAGTTTTGTAAGGATTTGGTCCCTCTGATTTTAAATTTTATTTTTATTTTGATCATAAATATAATACCATAATTTTTTTATCTTTTATATTTATCTATTTTTTAAAGTAGTCCTTGTAATAATGATAGTTCTAATCAATATACTTGATTAGTAAAGATATTTTTAGAAAGAAAGTATCTATTCATTATAAATAACTAATTTAATTAGTTTTTTTAATTTATTCAAATTAGTCAACTAATTTTTATATTAAGGAGATAAGGTGATATTAATAAACAGTATTTTCTATTTCCATGTTTTTGGCGAGCCCACATGAATGATTATTATATTTAATTAAAATATATTAAAATTGTAGAATCATTGTACATGGCTGGTCAAAAAGAAAAAAAGAATCATTGTACATGAAATAATAATTTTTTTATGAAACTTGATGCCCATTTAAAGATAAATAGTATTCTTTTTTTATTCAAGACTTTTCAAAAGCTATGTAGAAATAAGTAACTATCTGTCAACCTTTCCTAATCAGCTCCTGTATTAATAGCCCTTGTTAAGTCAACGATACGTAATTTCTCACACACAAAATATAAAGCTTCACCAAAATAAATAATAAATAAATAAAACATCAACATGAATAGTTATAGTCATGATGGATATATATGAACTACAAATAATGAAAATCAAATCAAAGGATTACCACTTGCACTTCAGTCGCTATTAAGCGAAACATTTCAATGTCATGTAATTAATAAAGAGAATTTTGCATTTCTTGTTTTCAATTAGAAAGACGGACCAAAGAGATTCAAATTAAATAATCAGAAAAAATCGGGATCTCTGCACTATTCGAATCACTTTGTCTTGTGCAGTTTCTTACTTTCTTCATCTTCTTTAATATACATTAGAAAATTCCTCACACAACCGATCCACAATTCATCAATATAAACCCCTTTCAGATATCCCTCCACTTAATTTGTGATATTCACAACCAGAAGATCCATCAAAGAGAGAAAAGGTCGAACTAATTTTAAGGATCAGGAATTAATGGAGGTGGCGAAGAAAAGGAAGAATAATAACTCAGTACTGATTCTTCCTCTTCTACTTCTTCTTCTCATAAGCTTGCCTTCTCTCTCATCAGCGTCTGGTTATTATGGGAAGAAGAAGCACTTTGTACTAATCCATGGCGCCGGTCACGGCGGGTGGTGCTGGTACAAGGTGGCGACTCTGCTGAGATCAAAGGGCCATAACGTGACGACGCTTGACTTGGGTGCTTCTGGGATAAACCCTAAGCAAGTGAACCAGATAGGTTCCATTTCAGATTACTATGAGCCGTTGATGGCGTTCATGGCGTCGGTTCCGGCGAAGGAGAAGGTCATATTGGTGGCACATAGCTTAGGAGGAGTGTCTACTTCTGTTGCCATGGAGAAGTTTCCTCATAAAATATCAGTTGCAGTTTTTGCTTCTGCTAATGTTCTTAGCCAAAACCTCTCCTATCCTGCTCTTCTCTCTGAGGTAATTCTTTATATATAACTAAGAATTCTTATTTTCAGAGGTTGTTGGCTATCTTCACGTATATATATATGCTTTCATTAGTGAAAAAGAAAAGTTAATGAAAAAGTGTTATCTACAAGGTTAATTTTTTTTTGGAAACGCAAAAGTCCTCGTTTTGCTTCAAGTGGTAGGATAGTTCCCCCCCCCCCCTTATTTGGTCTACAATAAACCCCAGGTATGACATGCATATTTGTGTCTCATACCCAGTACCTACCAGGATAAATTCATAAAATTATTGGGTTTTATTTAATGCTAGGTTTAAAATGGAAATCTCATGGAAAGAATATTACTGGGGCCACATGATTTTTTTCTCAAAGTATTCTAATTCAATTTGGATAATATCTATGGCTTAGCCTTGCTCTGGGGTATATGGATTAAATGATTTGAGGGGAGTTTTTTTTTTCCCCCGACTGGCTTAAGTAGTTTATCCTATTGTTTACTTTGGGGGGGGGGGTTTATTATAAATGGATTTTGCATCAATTAAAAGAATAATCATATTATATTACAGGTGAACAGAAGAAACATGTCATTGATGGATTCACAATATTTCTTTGAAGATGGGCGCACCAACCGTTCCGCTGCTATACTTTTTGGGCCCAAATTCCTGGCAACCCGTATGTATCAATTATCCCCACCGCAGGTGATCTCTCTCAGTCTTTGCAAATTGAAGTTAGAGATCATTACTGATTGGCACATTTGATGATCAGATTAAATAGAATAATAATAATAATCAATGGTATAACATTGGATTGTAGATTTTGTTTTGATACATAAAAAGATCATGATGTATATGTAAGCTTATATACTACTTCCGATTCTTAGTATAAGAATTAGTTGACTAATTTGAGTAAACTTAGAAAATTAGTTATATTAGTTATTTATAATAAATATATGTTATATTTTTTAAAATATCTTTACTAATTAAAGATATTGGTTAGAACTACCATTATTACAAGGACTATCTTGGAAAAAATAGATAAATATGATAGACAAAATGGATTGGAGTCTTATATTTAATACCAAAATAAAAGTCAAATGAGCTATTATATCAAGGACCGGAGGTAGTAATTAATACATTATTATCCTAGCTAGTTTGGCTTTTTTCAAAGAAAAGATTATGATACGTTGTTTGCATCACGGATCAAACAAGTCATAACCTCGAAATAAATTGTATGAGCTTATATAATATTACCTCAAGTCCTTAATATGAGACTTAATTAATTAATTAGGAGAAATTAAGAAAGTTAAATAAATTACTTTAAAGTATTATATATTAGTCAAGTCAGTCTTATATTAAATACTGGAGGCAGTAGCATATCAAATGTAGCATTAGAAATGAACATAGCTAATCTTTCCTTAGTTAATAACATATGATATTATTCTAAGGGATAACCGGATGACTAACTAAAGAGCATGTGTTTCTGTGTGTCTGTATGTCTATATATATGTGTATGTATGTAAATGAATTAATGAGCAAAGCCTCAATATATATAATGTTAGGATTTGACACTTGCACTGTCGCTGGTGAGGCCTCTACGGAGCTTCAATGATGGAGAAGTAGTGAGAAAAGAAACAGCAGTGACAAGTAGCAGAAATGGAAGGGTGCCAAAAATATTCATCATCTCTAAGAATGACAAAGTGATTCCAGAGGACCTCCAGATTTGGATGATTCAGAGATCTCTTCCATTTGATGATATCAAAGTCATCAAAGATTCAGATCATATGCTCATGCTTTCTCAGCCACTCAAGCTAACCTCCCACCTTTTGCAAATCGCCAACAAGTATTAGCTGGATTCAATGTGATACTTGATTTCTTAGTCTCATTAAAAGATTATTATCTATTTTGATTTTGATTTGTCCCCTATTATCATTATTGGACTTTGGATCCAATTCTATTCTTGATAAGCCAAATTATTTGACTAAGGAGCAGATAGTTCTTGATAAGCCGAACTATTTGACTAGGGAGTAGACAATCTCCCTAATTAATTAGAAAGTCCAATTGCAAGGCAATCAAGAAAATAAACTGCATTAATTCTTATGGGAAAATTAAGGAACAAGAAAAATGACTCACTAGAAAATTAATCAGGCATTAAGTTGTTGATTTTGAATTGAAATTGTGAATTAAGACAATAAAAAATTCATCTTGTAATAAATGGAAGAGATCACATTTTCATAAACTGTGACCACCCTGACTCAATAAATGAGGTGTCTCCCCCCCCCCCTTTTCATCCCAGCTATTGAGCTTTTTAGTTATCTCTTCTTTTCTTTCATTTTTTTGTGCATCTATTGTGCTATTTTTATTTATACTCTTATATTCTAGGTATAACTCAATATGATCTCTTCTCTACTTATTTTATTTTTTCTACAATCATACTATTGTATTTGATACATATTCTCAAAACAGGAAGAAACGTCTCCACTAACTTTACCTTTCCTTTACCCTCCATTCAATGTTTTTATTATTAGATCAAGTTTCAACAGCTGAGATTTATTTTGTAAAAATGTTATTATAATATTAAATATTAAATAATCAAACGTAGGTACGTAAGTTTATACTATTAAAATTTGATGTGAATAGTTTACAATTGTAAATTTTTATTATATTTAATATTATAATAATATTTTTTACATATTTTTGAATCTCAACCATCAAAGGTTAATCCAATAGTAGAGATACTAAGCAGAGGGAAAGCGAAGAGGCAAGTTAGTGGAGACATTCTTTTTTCTCATTTAGATTGATATAACAAATGATATGACATGATATTACGTAACATATCAAAATGAATGATAAAAATCTGTTTGACAAAATCTCACACACTGTAAAGATATTTATATATAAATTAAGAAAAGGAAAAACTATAGAGCTATGGGACAATAGAATATGGAAATTTAAAGAGAAATAATAACCAATCAACCACTGTGTTGCAAGATAAAGAAAAGAGGAGGCATCCATAATCCGAAAGATTATGGCCAGATGGAGAAGAAAAGAGGCCAACTCACTAAGGTGGGAGAAAGAAGATCCCTAAGAAAAGTTTCAAGACAATTTCTTTTTTTTTTTTTTTCACGACCCTTCTTTTTTTTTTGTGCAAAAATTTTAGGTAGGGATTCATGCTCAACTCAAGTCAAGGGCGAGTTGCTCAATCTAGCTTCCCCAAAGTCATATCTTATTAGTTATGGTGAATCTACAACAAGCCCTAGGCATTCATCTAAGTACCTGAGATCTAGGATGCATTCCCAAGCGCTATGATGGGGAATTGAATCCTCTCTTTTTTTGGTGATAGGGTGCTTCATCCATATGCTCAAACCTCTTTCATGTGAGCCCTATATCCCTAAGCCTAATAATCTCATGCCCAATAATATTATGTCAATAGGGGTTAGGTGTACCGAAGGAGTTAGTCTTTCATAACAAGGTGAATTAAAGTATGAATTCCTATTAGAAGAGGTGTCCACATCGAATTTCTACTAAAAAAGATGTTTACATTTAGTGCCCAGTAGTACTCGAACAAAATTGCCTCCAATAAGAAGATATATGTGCCTAGCAAGAATTTATTATAAATCATTAACCCCATTTATTTCACTTACGTATGAAACCAAGTTTGGGATTTGAAAAGAACTTTACTTTATATTCTCCACAAGGAACTTTATGGTATATTAACCTCACAAGATAGAAGCACCTACTAGGAAAATAAATTCATGTTTATTTAAATTTACGTGTTGCTTTAGTTAGTTATGCTTTATTTTACTTGGTTGTTTGCTTACTGAGTTGGGTCTTAGGCTTGTTGGGCCCAATAGCCTTATATAAATATTTTCATTTTGAAATTTTTCCTTTGTACAGTCTAGTTTCTCATAGATGGAATATTAGAAAGTTTTATTCCCATTTTTCGCTGAGTTGTGCTTATCATGGCATTAAGAGCCTAGGTTCTTGTGGATTCAAGATTGTGCCACAAGGCCTAAGATTAGAGGCCCAAGATTTCTGCTAGGGTTTCCAAGGTGAAACCATTCAAAAGCAATTCAGAGCTTTCTCCTCGTCTTCAGCTAAATAACTTCTCAACAATGTTGATGAATCCTCCATCGCCAACTCAGCTTTACCCACCCTCTTTAACTACACCTATCCAACATCCAGGGATTTACAATAATCCAACATATTCTCACTGGCAGTGAGAATTATATGGTTTGGAGTAAGGCAATGTGCATTGTGCTGAAAGGAAAACAAAAGCTTAGATTTATAGATGGTTCTTGTATGAAGTAGACTCAAGAAAAACACCTCAATGGTTAGTGAGAGAGGTGCAACGCTGTAGTCTTAACATGGATATTGAATTCGATTTCGACATATTTAGCAAGAGATATGGTTTACTTTCAAGACGCTTATGAGGTTTGGGTAGACTTGAAAGTGCATTTTGATAAAGTGATGGGATCACAAATCTTCAGCCTTCATCAAGAGATAAGCTCACTGAAACAAGGTGCCCTCATTGCAATTATGGGAGGAACAATCTGACTCATTGCAATACCCTCCTATGAATGCGAAACTTTGAGGGCCTACGCATAGATGATTCAGCAACAGAAGTTACTACAACTTCTCATGGGATTGAATGATTCTTTTAGCACGGCAAGTGTCAGATTTTGCTGATGACCCCTCTTCCTACTGTAAATCAGGCCTATGCAATGATTCTTAAAGATAAGGCATAGAAAAATATAGCAAACACCATTGCAGCACAACCAGTTGAAGGAATTGCAACGGTTGGTAGAGGAAAAGGCCATAGTAGGGGAACAGGAGGACTACCTGTGAAATGTATTTATTGCCACAAGAAAGGTCACACAAAGGAGAATTGCTTCCAATTGGTGGGATATTGTAACACTTATCCCTTATACACCAGTAGAGTTATTCTATTTAAGCTCGAACTATTCAAAGCCAGGTTTCATCCTGGGAAAAGACAATTTTTTATACTATTCCCAAACACAAGGTTTGATCCTGTTTAAGGAATGGGATTTTCTGAAAAACTTTAAACTTTTCAAAAACTAACTTTCAAAGTAATCTGTCTAGTAGTTCAAGTATTTGATTTAACCTTTTTTACAAAAATGGTAAAAACAGTTTAAGACCCATGGCTTGCATTCAACCATCTAACCCATTCTTTTTCCATCCATCCATTTGAATCCTGTATTAAGTCAACTATAACCAGTAGGGTTTAACATTCAATACCTTGGCCATTGGCTCATACAATGGGGTACATATATAGATACACACAATTCTAGGCATAATAATAACTATATATCAAAATATTGGCCATTTCCTTCAATAGCAGTTAGGGGAAATCACAAATAAAGACCCTTGAATTAGCAAAATCACTCTATGGTCACCTGAATATGCCAAATTACCATGAGGGACCCGGTCTCAAATTGTAATTATGAAATTATGGCCAAATTACCAAAATACCCCTCTTTACTTTTCTTTTTTTTATAAAAAGAAAGCCACTGCCTCACCAGAATCCGGCCATCGGCGCCGGAGCTCCGGCGGCCGCTTCCGACCACTGTCGGCGGCTGGACCCCGGCGTCCGGCCGCCGGAGCTCCGGCACCGGCGGCCTTCCTTTGTTTTTTTTTTTGTAACTGTTTTTTTAAAAAAGTTGCAAAAAAAAAACAAAGGAAGCCGCCGGAAGCGGCCGCTGGTGCCGGAGCTCCGGCGGCCGGACCTCGGCATCCGGCCGTCAACAGTGGCCGGAAGCAGCCGCCGGAGCTCCGGCACCGGTGGCCGGATTCCGGTGAGGCAGTGGCTTTCTTTTTAAAAAAATAAAATAAAGAGGGGTATTTTGGTAATTTGGCCATGATTTCATAATTACAATTTGAGACTGGGTCCCTCATGGTAATTTGGCATATTCAGGTGACCATAGAGTGATTTTGCTAATTCAAGGGTCTTTATTTGTGATTCTCCCTAGCAGTTATTATAGTTTATCCGCCCTTAGCCACCTCCTTATGAAGGAATATTTACATATCAAAATAGATATGCATTATATCTTCACTCCAAAATAAGATGCATTTTAAGCAAAATATATATATAAAAGATCTTCAGTTTCCTTCACCTCCAAGCTCTGCCAATTACTATTCCCTTGCCCTTAGAAGTACTTACTCTTGCTATATTACGTAGAAGACGGGGTGAGATTCTAAAGAATTCTAATAGTAACAAATTTCCTTCATGTAATCATATAAGATCACAAACAACATGCTACAAAGGCCAAAGAGAACAACACCTTGCATCCAAATATAATCAATGATGCACATAGACCATACACCCAAATAGCCGGTCGCTAACTATGGCGCCCACATTCCAAAGTAAATGGAAACCAACGCATATTGTCATGACAAATAATATCATGCAAAGGAAACTTACATGTTCTCATGCACAATTAGCATAATGGCACATCCAAGCATGTGGCAATCAATGCACAATCACATTAAAGGAAAAGAGTTACTACCTTTTGCTCTTTCTTCCAATCTACCTTCCTCTTGTTTCTTTCTTGGCTTCCTTCTTAATGAACTCAAACAAATATCAAATCCTATAAATTATATAGGTATAAGTATATATTTATATGTAAGTGTACAAATACTTAACTATTGTGTTGAAGTAACACATTCATTATAGCTTAAACTTCTTATAATCAATTATATAGACTTATCTATTTCCCTTATACTTCACAACTTGTTTTGTTTATCTTTCCTTTTGGACTTGAAGAATCGATTTTTAGGCTCCAAATTACAAAATCGCACCACCTTTCCCAATTTCCTAGATAGGTCGAGACACACAAAGAGAGAGAGAGAGATATATATATATATATATATATATATAACACTACACAAATTTATAAGCAAATTATCATACGTTAGTCTTTCCAAATAGTTCCCCCACAATTCCAGCTTTACAAACACAATTCTATTGCCTATTTTAATGTCCACAAATCTTGATTTAGTCTTCTCAAATCAATATTCAAATTCTACGCTAATTTCAACAGCCTTGCTAATCTGTGAAATTTTTTAGATTTCAATATCTATCTTCACACTTTAATCAATTTTGGACAGCACCCCATGCT